GATACAGAGAAGAGGCAGAATCTGAAAAGATGGTATTCACATTTGTCACTGTTCTGCGCATTCTTTTAATGACAATATGATGGAGGAAAACTGCTTTATTTTGTTGATCCTTCATATGCTGCAGATGGAGGAAGAGAAGGCATTGAAGCAATTAAGAAGGACACTGGTGCCTCATGCGAGACCAGTGCCCAATTTCAACCATCCTTTCTTACCCCAGAAGTATGGATTACTAAATTCTTTCCCATTTTTTCAAGTCACACATTTTCCCCATTTTTTCGAGTTAGCTGACTGGTTTTGTATACTTTATGCATAGGTCTTCTAAGGAAATTACAAAACCAAAGTCCCCAAAATTGCGAGTTATTCGGAGAAAAGAGGAAAGGCGAAAGTTTGTCTGTGACATGAAAGCAACTTCTAGTGCAGCCTTTAATATGAGGTGATGATGGGGGTGGGGACAGTTCAAGAATTCTTGAACCCTGTATTTTGGGTTGTATGAATCCTCTAACCCTACTTTGCAATATTAACGTACGGATTAATTCTAACTCTATGTACCCACAAATCTCATTCATGGATATAAAGTAACATGTTTGCTTTTCAGACTAGTAGTGATGAAAGAACAAGCATTCTCTCATAACATTAAAAACTTAAAAATTAAAAAATTACTCAAAAATTAACTTATATTTACTCCCAACCATTCTCTCTCTCTCTCTCCGATAAAAATAAATAAAAGTTAAAATTAAACACTTTCTCTCCCTCTCTATGGTAAAAACAAAAACAAAAATTAAAATCTCTTTTTCGACAACATTAATACATATTTCTTTTGTCTCTCTCTCACAGAATAAATTAATTAAAAATAAATTAATTTTTTTCCTCTCATCTTTTGCTTTATGTTTTCCTTTCCCTCAATGTTTCTGAGAACCAAACAGACCTAAATGAAGTTTCAATAAAAGTTTGTGCAAATGGTCAAAAATGATAGCCAAAGACCCTCAATTTGCAATTTGAGTAGAACAAAGAGTTTGGCTGCTTCCACACGTTTAACCAGAGTTACTAGGGAAAGTAGCCATCTAGTACAAGTGCCATTTCACAAACAATAGGATGGATCATCAAAAAATAGATAAATCCATCAAGTACTACTCCATTATACAGATAAAAAATTTTAAAAAAAGTAACTGTAATAACACTTAACCATGTGTAATCTTCCTTGATGAACATAATTTGAAAAACAGGGATTACAATTACGCATCTCAATAAGGAGCCTCGGATCTCTCTGCTAGTTGATTTACATATTCTCCTCCTTAGAGTGCTGGCGCACTTTCCAACTGAATCAAACAGTCGGCTGATAACGATATGTCAATTAGCCTCCTTCAGTCGATACGCTAGAATCTGAGAATGCATAGGGACTGGAAGGTTAATAATCTTAGTTCCAATAATTGATGAGTATGAAACTGCTCTATTTAAGTTGGCACAGCATGGTAAAGATCATTAAAACATAAATACATTCATGAAAGGCGCTCATTCTTTTTCTCCTCTTTTTTTCATGTTGTCCGTTTCTCAATAGTCAAAAAATAGTGGAGGTCTCTACATATACAGGCAGTACACAAGTTTTTAAGTCACACCCACATGACGGCACGCAGTTTCATCACGTATACAATTAGTTTGGCAGATTTTGATCCAACACTTGGCTCAACCTTAACCACTTGAGAAAAGGCAAGGGGCAGCTTCCCAACATATACATAACCTTCCTTGAAATCTCCAAGACGTGAAAAAAACCATTTCAAGTTCAAAGAAGGGGGGCAACATTCATAATGTAATGGTTGGGTTTTTCAAGGAAGGTTCATTCATTCTTCGGTGGAAAAGCGGCCACAAGTACCATCCAATTTAATTAAATACAACTCTCACACCCACAATTCCACAAATATATCCATAGACACTCACCAAATGGTCCTTGCTGGAAGTGGCTATGGCTTTAAGATCCCCGACTTGCTCCTGTCCCTCCAAACTTTGCTGCCCATCTTTGCAATGACCACCAACTTGGGATGGGGGGTTAGTATCATCCAATGAAGTTGAGGGGTTGATATTTTGAGTTTCCTCCAACAATAGCATTTCAACATCGTTGGCTGGTAATGATGTCTTATGTGCAACATACTACACAACGCATGAATCACAGTAAGTTTAGATGAGCATTACCAAAAATGAACAAAATAGAATGGTAAGTCAGCAGCTAAGTTTGTTAGTTTTTTGACAAATATAAAACAGACCAGCATTGTAACATAATAGCATTATGTTAAGCTGGTAATGGATCGGGTACAGTTATTACGGTATACATGGTCCAATATCCAAGTAAACCTAACTTATCATCTTGTTTAAAGATCTTATAGGCACCACGTTGAAACAGATGTATTGTATAGCAGAATTAAGGAACAGTTTCATATATAATTAGGCAACAAAAATAATCATCAAATGCTTCTGTCAGCTTGTCCAGAGCAGAAATCTTAAATACTTTTAAATGCTACAGAGGATATGATAATGCCATTACAGTTATGCAACACAGGAAATGAATGCAACAACTAAACAAGCCAGCTTTGAAAATTTTCATATCATTCTCGTGCTTATAATTGAGCACGAGCTTCCAGAAAATGATACCCTGTATCTACCATGGAAAAGATCATCAGAGAGGATTCTCACTTCACAAAGATGTCTAACTGACAAGCTTGTTCTGCAGCAAATGTACGGCTGCTGTAAACTTGGTGTTCTTTGTTTGTCCAAAGAAATGAGCATGGGATGGACATCTAACTGCAAACAAGAAGAGTCTTAAATTGCAAAGAATGTGAAGCCTCAGAGAGAAACCACTAGGTCTGACAAGAACAGGTCATTGAAAAGACAGAGAAGCCCAGAACAACATAAAAACGTGATAGCATCATCTTCGATATTCAAGAAAAAATTTACAGCTGACATTGTTCAACTGGGGGTGAACCCTAATCATGGCCTAGCATGTACTCTAGCACTACATTACCTCGTCATCCTTCTCCTGTAAGCCTTGGAGATAATTAACTAGCTTGGATAAGCGGGTGCTCCTGGTGCCCTTGCTTCCAATGGCACTGCCATGTCTAGTCTGACTCCTAGTACCACCTCTGCCCCAAGCAAGTTTCTCAGGGGTACACAGAAGCCCAGGAGAATCTCTGTTTTCTCTGCTACATTCTCTTTCATTTTCAACACACCCATCACCCGAATTAGCTGCTGAAGAAGGTTGTGATGACCAAGCTCTGGTATGTCTCTTGCTCCTTGTCTGCTTGATTTCTGTTTCACAATCATCGGTCGAAGATGAAGCTTTGTTCCCATCTTGAGCATGTTCATCCTCATTTTCATCAGATCCTTGAATTTCGAGGATCCGGCAGTTTCTTCTTCTTCTTGAAGAAGAGTTACGAACATTACGAGGTAATCTTGCCATAGATGCATCAGCTAAATCTTTACCCATTGTGCGCCTCTTAACTAATGCTTCTGATTGCCGACGCAAAATTTGGGCAATTGATTCTTGAATCTGTCCATACTCCAATGATTGAAAAAACATATTGGGAATAAGAAAGAATTTGCATGTGTATGCAATACTTCACTTCATGCTCCAACAACACATTTACATAATCATTTGAAGTTCAACCCGTAAAATTATGAAACTGCCAGTCCATTATCACTAACAGATCCTGTCTATTTCCAGTTTAGGTGCTTTAAATATGATTAAAAGTCGAAGAATAAAAGTTGAAGAAAAGAAGATTCACTACCCACAAAGCCGCGAGAAAGTACTGATATCAATAAGAAAGAGTGAATATATGAAGCAACTTATTTCTTGATATTCGAAACATCTCAGATGCCATGGAAGAAGAAAGGAAGAAGTAAAACAATTGTAACCTAGCTCCGTGAACAGAAGCCCCTCAAGGCAAAATTTAATGTAACGATGCGACTAAACTTGACTCAGAATTCAACCACTGATGATCATGATGCTCTAGAACACTTGTCTGCTAAATTGTGAAGCTAAGGTTGCTTCTAAATTAAGGACTGTAATTATCTGTTATGATAATTACAGGTTTTACTTTGGGAAAATAGGAATTTTATCTTTTGTGGATAAATTGCAGAAGTACTTATCATCTATGGCTTCTGACAACTGAAAAGGCGCAACATGGGTACTATACAGGAAAACCAACACATGGCATTGTGCTTTACTCGGTGCTATGTGGCCCGAATTGAATTGAAGGAGTCTGCAATGAGGACTCATCTAACGTATATGTGTTACTTCTTACCCAAGTAAACATGACATTGTGCTTTATTCGGAGCTGTGTGGCCCGGATTTAATTGAACGAATCTGCAATGAGGACTCACCTAAAGAATATGTTCCTTCTTACCCAAATACAACCATGAACACTTAAGAGAACAAACATGCAAGCAAGAACAGCATGCACACAAGTCCACAAACATCAGTAAGCATGAAGCAATCACAAAACTTTCTTGCATCTGACCTGCCTATTGCGAGTCCTCTCCTCTTCATGAAAAGCCAGTTCCTGAAACCAAATTCAGCAAACCAGTGACAGATATGCATTCCAAAACACCGTTCAAAAAAGACAAGCAATCAAGAAAAATCATAGATATTGCTACCTCCTCCTCATACTTCTCAATATCTGGATATAAACATTCTATTAGAGTGTCAAAATTTGGATCATCTCTTAAAGAACGTCGACTTGCACAATGTGTGCGGCAAGCAGGACACTCATTGTTCCTATATAGAAAGATCAAGTTGAGTTATGTAATGAAATGAGGTTGTGAGACAGTCCACAATAAACTTTCAAGTATTCAGTGGCTTGGCTGAAATAAAGACATCCAAGTGTTCAATGATAAGTAATGATAAGAACAAATTAGGTATGTTACATACCCCAATCGCATTGCTTTATCAATGCATTCCCTGCAAAAGCGATGCATGCATTCCATTACAGTTCGAGTTTTCTTGATGATCCCTGTTATTGGAGAAAGCATATGAAATGTTACTTTTTACTAATAACTTATCAAGGATGTTGAGCATAACATCAGAAGACAGGAACTTAGAAGGAAATGAATTCCGGGCATCTCAGTTTACAAAAAAAGATCACCAACAACTTAATTCCATATGTCATCAAAACCAAATAAGTAGAAAAGAGTTAACCAACAGTTACTAATTTCTAAGAAAACAGAAAAGACTTAACCCCTAATAACGAAAATAATACAAAATCTCAAACAGGGGACATTGGTTTGTATATTGTAATTGCTTACCTATAACCGTAAGTCTTAAAAGGCACCCTGTGTTTGTAATCTTGTAACTAAGAACAGGGGGGTCGTGATATAACAATCCTCTATATAACAATACATTAACAAATTGAACCAACATATGAACGCCAAGGAAAAAAAAGTTTCAATCAGTTATTATCTCAAGCAAACCAAGAATACTATTACATAGTAGGGGTGGAAAATTTTATTAGAACAGGTGGAAAAAACAATGAATTACAGACCAGCACTTGATAGTGACCAAGAGAGCTTATATTGTTACAAATACAAATTCAAAACACATGAGAATAATAAATGACCAGGGGAAACATAAAACAATTACAATAGATTGTCAAGGAGCTAGGCCAGGCATCTAAGCGATCACTCAAAGCACGTGTCATGTATAACAGGGTATGTGTTCAGTCTTTTGCTTTTAAATCACTCACTAATTACATATTAACCATCAACTCCTTTAATGATTACATATATACATACACAAATATACCTACATATATTTATATGCAAATGCACGTATTTACATATGCATGCATTCAGAGAGATGTATAATTGGTCATATAGACAAGGAGGAAAAGTGGAAAACATTCCCCAGCGAACAAGGGGCTGATTATATTTTTTATTCATCCTCATTCCTCGATCTCACGAATTTGTAGATGAACTTAGTTTTGGAATATTGGCAATTGATTGCCACAAGATAAACTCAAAGCTCCAGCACAACTTAATATCTTTTTTCTTTTCCCAGACATCTCCAGCAATTTCCAGATTCCACGTGGCTTTATTATATATATTAAGCTAAAAATATCATGAATAATATCTATTGAAGTATAAATATTTAAGTTATACCCAATCTAACAATTTAAGCTTTTGGAATAGATGTTTATTTAAAATGGTATCAAACAGGAGGTCATGTATTTAAATCTCGCCGCAACCCCAATTATTAAAAGATTTTCGAGTACTAGGCCCAAAATCTAACCTACACTTTGAAATATAAATATTTAAATTATACCCTCTTTTAAGTTTTTAGAGTAGATAGTTGTTTAACAATATCTCCTTTGCTTTTTCTTTCCATCAAAAACCAATATGGGGTTGTTTATGGTGTTCTCACCATAAATGTTTGACTTGCATGCCTCAAGTCATGTTAAATTATTGTGTTCTCAAACATGGCACAGAATCTGGAAGTCAGAACGAAATATACAGATCATTGAGTAATGAGCAACTTTTGGACCTACTCAGTTGACTCAGCAACTACTTAGAACTGGGGTTATAATGCTACATTCATTTTTTGTATCTGACAATTACTGCAGGCATAGATTTACTTAAGTAGCACCTAGTTGAAAAGTTATAGAGCTTAAAGATGCTGATAACTTTTCATAGCCAAAGGATAGCATTCATAATTTTAGTTATTTTCAATCTTTAGCTTTTTTGCAGCACTAGAAAGTGCCACCAACATAGATTATTCGTTTTAGGAATTTCAGTTGCTGGCTTAGAAAGACTATCCACCAAACTAACAAAGAGTGACCGATGAAACTAAAGACCCTTCATTTTGAAGGTTATTTGAACACCAATTGTAAGACTAGATACTTGCAATTAGTTCTACCGTTATTAGTGCAACACAATTCGTGTATACTATGAAATGCCGAAATAAGCTGTCACAAAGAGCTATGAGTTAACATCTTGTTACCAAATTTTTGTAAGACGGTCATCAAGCCAAGCCACATAAGAATGACAACTTAAGAATATGGGGTCCCCCAAGATTATTGGTCTATGTGGCAGTAAGACATATCAGTGAGCATGGTTATTAAAACGTCAACCTCAGCTATGCCCATAAATGCTCTCCCAATGGCCCAGAGCATTTTAACCACATACCGTAAATCCACAAAAGGATAATTAGAAAGTTTACTTCGCAGAACTATCTCCTCTAATGGAACTGAAATACTCAACCTTCTGATGTATTTGTTAGATAACTGGAAAGCAGGAAGGGGGCCAGACAAGTGTTTGGGAAGTAAATATGTAGTATAAAGGGAAAAAAAAAAAAGGAACAATGTTCATAAAACCTTGCTGGTGCCCAAGCTGCCCCAGGCTGCTTAGCCCTAATGCAGCTTACCGTGTTTGGACAGCTTAAACCTAAAGCAAAATCATCTTCCCAAACACCTTCCCAGACTGCACTTGGGCTGCTCAAATTCTTGCCAGAATGGATCTAAGCATTCACAGGCAAGTTTTGAACCACATAATGCTATCAAACCAAAAGAAGATGCCCAGTCACCAGGTGAATGGTATGATGTTAGGCCCAGCTGAATGGTCCATATTGCATGACACAATGCTTGCCTAAATTTGTGAACCTGTCCCACAATATAGTAAGCAAGTTCTCTTCATTTTTTTTCCAGGGGTACCCACTTATGTCATGGAAGATTAGTAGATTTCACTTGTGCCTCAATAGAAGCCACATTGCACTGAGGTTGCGAACAAGGATAAGTGTTCAAGGCATCAGAATTGGAAGCTTATACATTATAAGAAAAAATAGCAGCCTAAACATGAGAAGGTTACTAAAGGTCGCAAGAAAGAACTCATGTATTTTCATCAGAAAACTTGTTAATACAAACTCTGAAATTTGGTAAGCACACAGATTGTGACATGAAAGAATTTTACTTCCTCAATTCCCCCCCTCCCAAACACATTTCGACGATTATGTAAAAGGTATGAAAACACACTGACATCTTATCAAAAATCTCAAAAGCAGTAAATAATAAGAACAGTGATACCTAGACATATTGGACAATGCATAATTTTGTCAAACAATTGCTCGTAATTTCTTCTCGCATTGACATCCTAGCAAAACATTCAAAGGTGTAAACATTAATAATTATAATAACAACAAGAACAATACCTAGACATATTGGGCATTGTACATCTTTACGTACGTCAGACAAGTACACAGCCACAAATCTGCAAACAGACAAGGAGATGTAGTGTTATGACATAGAACCCAGTCATCAACAATAGTTGCATAAATGAAAAAACATAACTAAAACCACAATTTCTTACCAAAAGAAGATACCAAGGGACTCAGTTGGACTAGTAATACTTTATATTGTTGTGCAAAATAATAAAAACTTTGCAAGGGACCATTACAGACCATTGTCATCATGTCACTGTCAAGTTCGCATTAGAGAGAAAGAGCGAGATTGTGTGTTTTTGTGTGTGTAAAACATATTTTCAACTTGGTTGGTTAAAATAGACGGTTCATATTATCAACCATCTTTCACTTAATGTGCAACCTATCTTTGTTTTCAACCTTCCTTCAAGCAACACACTCATGCATCATCTATTGCAAAACTAGCAATAAAACTAATATAAAACCAAAACTCAGCAAAAACTGTACCGTGGAACCATGGATTGCACTTGATTAACTTGATTAGACTCTCAAACAAAGTAGATACTTCTATACCAAAATGATTTTGGAATGTTTTTGGGGTTGGGGCAACAAACCAGCAAGAATGTGGTTCCAAATCTACGAGATCATCGACTATATAAGGGGCAGGAAAACAAAAACCAACCCCAACTATGCAACATCTCAACTAAGGGGAAATTAGAGAAAACTTGAAGTTTAATCTTGTTCAGTGACATGGTACATACCTTCAAAAAGTGAACGAATTACAAAATAAATATAGTAAATTGCCCTCTCTGAGGAGACCACTACATTTGGTGACAGAAACCAGAATCAGTTATCGGAGAACTTATCTTAAGACAACAAATTCCTCTTATTTTCATGTCCACTAGTCACCATACCATCTCATAATAGGGCCACAGCATGGACCCTCCCACCAACACACCTCTCAGACAAAGCATGAAGCAGTTAAAGAGGTTTTTTAAAAACAAAAAAAAAAAATTTAGTCTACTAACTATTACATGGATGCAGTTTCAGTGCTATGCCTAATGACCCTACTAAAGGCATCCAACCCAAAACCAATGGGCAATGGGTGAATGCCTATCTTGGATGGTCGGTGACCAAGTCTCTCAAACATATAAATTCCCTAATCTATTTGTCTTTATATTTTTAGTTCAGTTTGTAAGCCCACAAGTGAGTTCAGGTCACACATGACGCAGATCGTAAATAGAGCTTGTATCTCACATTGAATAATTAGGTATGCACAAGGTTAGTTTATATAATTGAGGGGTCACTCCACATATAGACAATTGGTTTTGGTTGGATGCAGTTGAATTTTAAATCTACGGTTTAGAGTGGAGAATTGGCGGGAGAAGAGAAAGAAAAGATTAGGAAATAGGGTTAAGGAGAATGAGAGTTCAAAAACTTCTACTCTCATAACCCATATTTATATTAACTCATAGTAAATTGAAGATTACGATAATACCCTTAATTGAAATAACATAATATTCTACACTCCCCATAGATATCTCTCATATCCAACTTGCATCCATCGAAATGAAAGATTCTATTACTTAGTTCTTTAGTAAACACATCAGCAAGTTGTTCCTTGGACGTCACAAATGGCATACAAATCAACCCATCATTGTGCTTCTCTTTAATGAAATGTCTTTCAATCTCAATATACTTTGTTCTGTCATGGTGAACCAGGTTGTGACCAATATTTATGGTAGCCTTATTATCACAATACAATCGCATAGGTTTATCATTAGAGACACCCTAGTCTTCCATTAAGGTTTTCAACCTCATAAGCTCACAAATACCATGAGCCTTA